TTAATATTTATTTTTATTGGCGGTAATTTGGAAAATAAAATTAAAATGCATCCTCTCGGAGCCATGCATCAAGCCCGGTGGATGGCACGAGCAATTTATTGCTTAAAAATATTTTTGTTTAGAAGCCAATACAATATTTCCGACTTAACAAAAAAAGCAATCGGTGAAATTTGTGTTTTTATTATTAAATTTTACGTCAAAGCTTGGTTTACTTGTCCATTGCCAAATNAAAAAAAAAGCGACAAAATATCCGGCCAAACGATTGATAATTAAACCAAACAAAATAGATGATAAATTTATTGGTAAGTAAATAAACATTAAGTTTAAAAAATATATTGAATACGTTTAATAATTCATAAAATAAAAAATAAGCAATTAATTATATTTAATATTATAATTTTTACAGAAAAAAATATTGACGCATTTATAACAGAAGAAAGCTTAAAACTATTTTCCCGATTTAACATTGATGACGGATTCTTAAAACATGATCCGACTTCCTGGGAATCTAGTGAAAGTTACATAAATGGTAAACAAATTATTAATTCATTAAAAATAGTTAACGATACTGCAGAGAGAGCCGTGAAGTTGATGGAAGAATACAATTTATACTAAAATGTGTACAAGAACATCGGAAAATTTATCCAGATTTTAAAAAAAGCACCTTACAACAACAATATTAATTTTCTTTATTCTATAGGATTTTTTTAGAGTCAAATCAATATAATTCACGAACCATTAGAGATATAAAAAAATGTAATAAAATAAAAGTTATAGCAAATTTAATTTACTTTAAAATATGTAGTATTAAAAATATCGATATTTCTAAAGGTTAACGAAATATTTACGAAAATGTCGAAAATTTTCGTAAATATTGAAAAATGTAGTAAGTTCAAACTTAAATCACAAGTCGGCACGGGTTAACCTTATCTGATCGAACCAAAACTTTTTGTAGTTCGTTTTTATCCATATAGGCACAATATTAGGGGGTGAGACCAAACATATTTTAAAATCAAAAATTAAGGAATACCCTAACCTATATTGTACACTAATGACCGATACATTTACTAATCAAGTAACACTATAATATAGAGATGGGTGGCACCAAAAATATATAATTCGATATAATATGATACTCGTTTTAGCCGTTTTATTTCGATTCTCAATACCTAGCTTTGTTTAAAAATAAAGAAAATAAAAATCAAATATAAATAATTATCATTAATATCACTTATGGTTATTATAAAACACTATTTAGATTTTAGATGTTCTATCACATGATAAAATAAAAAATAAAAATTAATTTAATCTAATCTATCTGAATTTTAACTACAACGCGATTATCACTTATTAATTTAATTTAACGAAATATCGAAATTGATACCAAACATTACCTCATTTTCGATGTTCGATAATCGATACTATTATTTTTTTTGTGCTTATCAACCATTTTGACATAATTTTTTTTAGTCGTTGCCATAACGCTCACTTGCGTATTCCGACTACTCAGATTTTTTTTTTTTTTTTTATAATTACTGACTAAAAATTAATTTTTCATTGGTAGAGAGTGATATATCCCCTTACAATTCTCCTAGGGCCGAAATATCAAAAAGAAAACTATTACACAGATAGATAATGTTTTTATTTTTAAGTTTGATAATTGGTCAATTAACTCTAGTATTAAAACTAACAACACAATGTTGCCGTGCTGAACTCAAATTTTTTCATATCGTATGTTTGTAAGACGGAGACAAAAATAACACATGACACCCTCGAAGGTACGATACGATGCAGTGTACACATATAACATAAAATTATTAACTGAAAGTAGTCAACGACGGTCGATGACCTACATTTAGGTATTTAATATTATATTATAATATCATAAATAATATAATAGTAGGTATTAATAGAAAATATTACAAAATGTAAATTAAACGGTTATTTTAACGACGTGGCAATGCGCACAACAATATAACTACCTATACAATATTTTATATTGTGTTTATACACTTACACGTAGATGTGTAAACTCAAAAAACATGATCAAGTGGCATAACTGCATAAGTAAATAATTAAATTGTATACCTATTATGAGTTGTAGATAGGTAT